GCCGCGTATAGAGACAGATGATTTGTGTGCCGTAATTGTTGTGCATGCCAGGAGCCGTGATGCAGCAAGCCAGAAGCAGAGCCGACCGAGTTCTGCCACTTTGGGTTTCTTTTTAGTTGGACCTATATTCTCTTTAAGTGAGCAATTGAACTAGGCAAGTTTCTGAGCTCCTATTTCTAGCCCCATTATTGAAGAGGGGAGCAGACAACTGCCATATTTGGAGATCTGGTATAGCAAATGGAGATTACTTTGTTAAAAATCTTGTAAACACATTTGTCTATCATTAATTTGTTCCACTGTTTTTTATATTCAGTTCATACACACTTGGATAAGCTTAAGCCTATATCTATCAGTTTCTTCTAGAAACTATTAGCCAATTAAAGTATTATAAAGGTTAAAATACAAGAACTTGCAAGTCTGCATCAGTGCCACCCACACAGCCGGCCTGGCGTTGGACCTGGCTGCCTTTCTTTCCCTGCTGTCTGGACTCTGGGGTGGGGAGGAAAGCTTCTCCTCCATTGTCATGGTGAGCAGGACTTCCTACAGTTAATCAAGTTGAACATAAATAATTTACTGCAGTTGTAGAATAATGCATTGATGAGTAAATCTTACAGGTTTACTAGAGACTAGGGCTTTCCATTACTGATAAAGGGTGGGCTTGCCTTCTTTTGCTGGAGGCCCTGGAGTTGATTTCTGACAGCACAAGTAGTAAGAACAGGACTTTCTCTGTCATTTTGCAATAGGTTCTGACTGACGGTAAGGGTGATTTTTGCATTATTTTTGTTTTGGGGAAGGGGAAATCTCACAGTTACTTGTCCTGCTGATACCATATTCAGGCTAAGGTTGATCATCCGTTCTGTTTTACCTATGATTGGTTGGTTTCTAGGAGAAAAATAGTGTACACATCCTGATTAAAAGTGTGGTTAGGCTTTGAGAAAAGAATGAATCTTTTTCTTAGTCATAAACCATGGACAAATACTAGGTACCTGTATGATGGTCACAGTTTTATTGTATACACAGTTTAATCGATACAGCAGACATGTCACATTTATTCTTCATAGGAGTGTGGATTTTATATTTAGGGAATGCCTTGAATATTGAGTATTGAACAGAACAGCCACTGCTTGCGGAATACTTTACTGTGCTTTAGGTACCTTTTATAGTCTCTTGAATCTAATGTGTACCCAGCATTATCAACATTTCCATCATCGTAGCTTGTAAGAACAACCAGTATTTGTACCCAGGTAAAAATACTTTTGGGCTTTAAAATTGTTTTATTATACAACTAAGCTAATAAGTTAAATATGTAATGGAAACATGCTTCTTGCTCTGCTGTGATAGTGAAGTTATTGTTGAAGTCTGGGAAAAGTACAAAGAGAGGCATGCTTGAATTTGCTGTGGAGAAGGAATATTTTAAGAAAGATTACTGTAGAAAGACAACACCTTATTAAGTGTTTGGTGACACTCTTAATTTAGAGTTGGTTTTGGTAGAAGATGGGGATGACATCTGGAAGTGGAGTTACTTATGTATTTAACACCACTTGCTTGATCATTCTTGGATGTTTGTGCCTTCATTTCTTGGGTTCACAGTTTTTTTTGAATATTTGAAGATACATATTTACCGAATCTCATTTTTTTCTTTCTAAGAGTTCTGAAATTACTACCACACTATCTCAATTAATAACTATATTAGTCTGAATGGCTTCTAGACCTCCTTATTTTCACTTAGCATTTCCAGCCTCATAGCTTCTTCTAGGCAACATGATTTTCATCAGACTTCCCTTCACTTTTCATGGGTGTTCTTCACTCCCTTTGTGTCATAGAGTGCATGCTTTGGAAACTTGTTGAAAATAGTCACAGGAGGTAAAGATTTTGATGCCTTGCCATCTGAAACAAAAGCTATGTGTTCAACCCCATGGAAGCATGGAGGACTTTAGATGGGTCTTCAGTGAAGCGCCCTTTACAACCTTGGGGTTACTGTTTGACCTATCTCTCTCCAAAAAAGAAAAAGGGGCCTGGTTTTAGTATTTTACTTTGACTGCCTTTTTCTTCTTGAACATTTTAAGTTTTTAAAAGTCTCTTGCTTTTCATTTTCACAGTAATAACCTTTTATTTCTGTTGTCATTTATTTCTGCATTTCTTCATTCTGAATACTGACTAATGTTTGGGAATATATGTTGCATTTGCTCTTATTGAATAATAAAGCACCTGAACAGATTTTATTATCTACCTTCCTTGAGATTTGGTCCTACTTCCTGGTAGCCTGAAAAGGCTGTGTAGAGTTGTGGTGAAGGACTCTGGAGCAGAAAGGCTGTTGCAATCCTCTTGTGGCCAATTCCTAGCTATAGCTGTGTTCTTGGCCCATCTGCTTTTATCTTTAAGATATATTCAAAGTAGCTAATTTTTTCATACATAGTAAATGTTAATTATTTAGTAATAATAGTATAGTAATAGTATTGCCTTAAGTAAGAGCCCATCTTTCTACATGAAATTTTAGTTTCTGTGTTTTTTTAAACTGTGTGTGTGTGTGTGTGTGTGTGTGTGTGTGTGTGTGGGGTGTGTGTGTGTGTGTGTGTGTGTGTGGTGTGTGTGTGTGTGTGTGTGTGTGTGTTGTGTTGTGTGTGTGTGTGTGTTGTGTGTGTGATATATTGGAGTCACATTATGCAATGGTGTGTGTGTAGAGGTCCGAGGACAGCTCCGTGGAGTCTGTTCTCTCCTTAGACGTTTTGGCCATAACCTGCTGAGTCATGTGGCCGATCCTAGTGCCCTTCTTCATTTCCCTCTCACTGTTTTCTAGCCTCTCATTCTTATTTCATGGATGCAGTGTCATTTTGAATCATAACTGGATAATTGAGAAGAGTTGGGGGAAAGACTTAAACATGTAAGGTAGAAATCAAAGCAAGTAACTAGTAACAACCCACATGAATCAAAATCTTAAAAGTAGTTAGGGCAGGGGTCAGGATTTGAACTGTTCAAGTTTCCTTCTGTTTTCTGGACTGACATTTGTATTATTTTGAAGTCTCTTGCATGTTAAAAACTATTTCTAAATTCCTCATAATTATATTCAAATCATATTTGACAGGTGTATATATAAGTATATCTTGTCCTCTGTATATCACACCAAGGAGTGCTTGGTGCTGTTTAGAAATTTTGCCCATTTTAAAAATTGTAGTATTTGACTTTACTTATTGATTTTTTTAAAAAAAGATTTATTTATTTATTATGTACACAGTGTTCTGCCTACATGTATGTCTGCAGGCCAGAAGAGGGCACCAGATTTCACTACAGATGGTTGTGAGCCACCATGTGGTTGCTGGGAATTGAACTCAGGACTTTTGGAAGAGCGGGCAGTGAATCACTGAGCCATCTCTCCAGCCCTTGTTTTGTTTTTTTGATAGATAATACAAATATTGTTTGTTTGCTGTCTTTTGGATTTGCTTCTGGTATATTTCTCTATGATAAGTTGGTAAGTTGTCCTTTCTTTCTTTCTTTCTTTCTTTCTTTCTTTTCTTTTCTTTTTATTGCACTGTGGCTGATAGAAAGGTCTCTTAAAAACCCTGACTGAATGTTTTATGTGTAAGATAGGGCTAACAATAGATAAGAACCCCTCATGTTTGGTTTTTCTTAGTAGGTATATATAGGTAGAGACTGTGAAGAGGGTTCTTTTTCAGTGTGAAATTTTTCTTTATTCCTATTCTCTTCTTTTTTCACTGTCCTAGTTTGGTCTTTAGTGCTGTGACAAACACTGTGACCAAAAGCAACTTGGGGAGGAAAGGGCTTATTTCAGCTCACAAGTTACAGTCCATCATTGAAGGAAGCCAAGGCCGAAACTCAAAAGCAGGGGCTTGAAGTAGAACCCTCAGAGGAAGCTGCTTTGGGCTGGCTCAGCTACCTTTCTTAGACCTGTCAGTGATGACACCACCCTCAGTGGGCTGGACCTTTCTGCATCAATTAGCAGTTAAGAAAATGTGTCACAGACATGCAACAGGCCAGTCTGATCTGGGCAATTCTTCATTTGAGGTTCCCTCTTAACTCTAGGTGACTCTAGGTTGACAGGTGAGGCTAACTATGACTCCCACTGCCTAGTAGAAATTCCGAATTTCTCCACCACCATCCCCCTACTACCTACACCCCCTACCCCCCATCCCTGTTCTGGTATCAGTTGCTAAGCACTTTCAAAATGTGGAACAGACAATATCCTGGGCTCTCTGGCTACCCTCCCTACCTAAATGTGAAGCTCTGTTTCTCCAAGGAGCTCTTTCTGGTGTAGAAGTGACTTAAGTGACTCATAGAAACCTCAGGTTTTCAAATGTTATTTGGTGCTGTATGCCAAAAGTTAGAACTTGAAGGTTTGTATTTAGTTCTTGCAGCAATAAATTTTAGCCTTGTGTATTACTGTTAGGAAAGTCATGGAGGGTCCTTGTCATCCATCTTGGCCTTTGAGAATTATGAAGTGAGGCTTCACTACTTTAATAGCACTTAAGACATTGTTTTAGCAGTCCTGTCAACGCCTTCATGTATTTTCTGACTCTTGCTGTTGACTTATATCAAGTTCTTTATTTCTCCTTTTTGAAATTTTGTTTACTCAGTTTAGTGAATTTTGAGAAGTGGAAAGAAACAGTACAAAGTGCTCTTAACTGTTGAGCCATCTCTTCAGCCCCAATAAATTAAAAAAATTTTTTTTAAGTTCAGACTGTTGCACTTAGGGTAACAGAATTCCTGAATGAATAGCATGGGAACTCTTTTCCCCGGGCTTTATATTAGTTCTGTCTGAGCTATGATGCTAGTCTAACTCATCAGGCCTGTGACTTTGATCTCATAGTTGAGAGAAGATAATTCCTGTGAGAACCTGCACATCCTAGAAGTGGGTGTAGAATGTCTCTTCCATCACTGGTTCCTCACCTTCTGTCTGCACATCTGCTCCGGGGCCTTCTGGAGGCTTCCTTTCCTGTGCTTGCCTTGGTTTCTGTCTTATCAATTCAGCTTACATCTGAGCCCCCATGAACATCCCTGACTGTACCTTTGTAAGTGAGGTAGGTAACATTCTCCCATTTAGTATGCTAGTTTGATTTTAGGAGAGCACTTCAGGCAAATATTAGTCCACATTGAATACTGCATGAACAAATCTAGCATTTAAGTATCAGAATCGGCTGTGAGTGCTTCTTGGTTTGTTGCTATTTTTACTTTGCATTAGGTCTTAGTGTGGTGTGGCAGAAAGGCCACTTATTAGTCAGTTCATCATTACTACAGTAATTACATTACAATGAAGTACCCAACCATGGCCGATTTTATAAGGCTGCTTTAGTTCACATTTCTGGAGGCTCATGGATTGGCACTGGCATTAATTTGGCACTGATAAAGGCCTCATGGTGATTGGTACCACAGTGGCAGGATATGGAGGTGAGCTATTACTTTGCCAGACAAGCCAGAGAGCCATTAAAGGCTCAGGCTGTGATTTGCATAACAACTTAGTGTTGGGAAAATTTCTCTAGAGTTGATAAGAACCACTTTAATTTTTTTGGAGCACATGTCCTCAGTGACCTAACAACTACATACTAGAACCCAATTTAAAAGATTGCATTTGAAACAAGTTGGTGATGAAGCTTTGAGCATAGGAACTTTGAAGTGCAAGTGCAAACCATCTCCAAGTATAGCAACAATAATGTAAACCTCAGGAGTCTTAGATGATAGACCTGCTTTGCTGTTCTCAAAGCTTTTGTGTTCTTTATCAGTGTGTGCTTAAAATATTGGATTGAGTGGAATAGTGCAAAGGGATTGTCATAGTTACTTTTCTAACTATGACATGAAGAGACACCATGATGAAGGCAACATATAGGAGAGTTTGTTGGGGCTTACAGTTTCAGAGGGTGAATCCATTGACCATGGTGGGGAGCATGCCAGCAGTAGGCAGGCATGGCGCTAGAGCAGAAGCCAAGATCTTACAAGCTGAGGCTACAACCTCAAGGCAGAGAGCTTGCTAGGAATGGCATGGGCTTTGACACCTTAGAGCCTCCCCCCTCCCCATTGACACACCTTCTCCAACAAGGCTAATCCACTAATCCTTCCCAAACAGTTCCACCAACTAGGAACCATGCATTCAAACATTAGCTTGTGGGAAACATTCTCATTCAAACCACCACTGGTTCTGTAGCTATAAAGAATGTGACTGCTGGTGTTATCAGAGTGGGAAAGTTAATTTTTACAAAGATGATCAGTAATAGAAAGCTATTTTAACATGAAATCATCTCTCTAGAGAGAGTGTGTTGTGTATTGTAAAAAATCAGAAATGAGGATAACCCATGTAGTTGAATAGATAAGGGAATTTATGATGGAGTTCATTCTTCTCATTTAACTTGATTATTAAGATAATGGGACGACCTTCATACACAGATTTAAGTCATATTGACTTTTAGTCACAACCCCCCTCCAATTGAGTTTACATTAAGTCCTATAGTGTATTATTTAAGCCTAATATTGAAGTTTAAAGTGCTTTTGTTTGGTCTTTCATGACTTTCACAAACTATAATTTGATATTCAGAATAGTTAAATAACCTGGGTTTCCTTTATGTTTTAGGATTTAAGTGCCCCGTATGCTCAAAATTTGTACCCTCAGATGAAATGGATTTGCATCTGGTGATGTGTTTAACAAAGCCAAGAATAACCTATAATGGTAAGTTTGGTGCCTTAAAAATCACATTGTAATTTAATATTACCATAAATGATGTGAATTTCATGTTTGAAGCGAAATTTAGTTGCCAGGGAAGGACTCAAATTCTCATCTTAAGATACCTTTATATGTGTTAAAAATCTGTTAATTAGGGCCGAGCGCTGTTGTCTCACGCCTTTAATCCCAGCACTTGGGAGGCAGAGGCAGGTGAATCTCTGTGAGTTTGAGGCCAGCCTGGTCTACAGAGCGAGTGCCAGGATAGGCTCCAAAATTACACAGAGAAACCCTGTCTTGAAACCCCCCCCCAAAAAAAAAATCTGTTAATTAGGTTATATCTATTAATAAGTGAAAATAAATTCATTTTCCAAGAGAGTTAATGGTAAGAGTGGTATTATCTTATTTTTCGTTTAGCTCCTAATATCTGACTTAATGACAAATAAATGTCTTTTCTATAGTTAGTTTTTTCTTTTTGGTTTTTGTTGTTGTTGTTGTTTTGGTAATAGGACACATTAGATGCCCTGGAAAATTCCACTGGAACACAGGAGAGATTGGGAATGAAAAAGGCAAATGATGTTAGCATAAAAATAGTCTTGGCTTTGTTCAATGAAAAGGATGGCCAAGACTCCCTCACCTCTCTCCCTACTCAAGAAGATTTTTGGATTACACTTGAAAACTCCTATGCCTGAATAAAATCTTTTTTAAGTTAGTCCTAAAGAAAAAGTAATTTGTTCAGAAAAACAGTTGTGCTTAAGAATATATAAGAAGTGAAGAACCAGAGAGATTTTTTTCTGTGGCTAAGAACACTTGTTGCTCTTACAGAGGTCCTGGGTTCAATTCCCAGCACCCACATGGGAGCTTACAACTCTGTAACTCCAGTTTCAAGGGCCCTAACACCCCCTTCTGGCCCCTGTGGGCACTGCACACATGTGGTGCACAGATACACATGTAGGCAAAGCACCTATACACATAAAAATAATTAACTCTTAAACAAATCTATAATAAATGATACATTGTTAACAGTGGAAATAAAGTTTATTCATAAATCTAGTAGATAGACAACTAATGGGAGAAAATAAATGTAGGAAGTAGAGACTGAAACTTTACTGTTACCATTATCTGTCTCTGAACCCACAGATAAATTTCATTTTTGTGCTAACTGCTTTAGGTCTGGTATGTTGGGCCAGGGTATTCTCTCCTGACCCTAGTAATAGAGTCTTTGGTATCATCAAAGAACAAGTAGAATAATTTCGGGAATTAAAAATCAAATAATTCCTCCTGGCTTCAGGGATTTTGTGGTGTCTGCCTGTAAATAACTTTAGCATAGCCAAGACTGAAGCCACCCTGGGCTATTTATGTATTGAGACCTTGTCTCTGGATGAAAAGAAATAAGTAAATAGAGGAGCTTAGTGCAGACCTAAATGCCATTAAGGAAAGAAAACAAAACAAAAGGAGAAAAGACATCGGAGGCTTAGACATAAAGTGAATAGTATTAGTAGGAACACTGATAATTGGAAAATTCTGGTGAAAGACTCAGTTTCGCAATGACATTTTGGGCACTTACAGGTTAAGACACTGTGCTAAGTGCTTTAATCCAGTAAATAAGACAGGTAGAGCTTACGGTCTCTCAAGAATCAATGAGATGAATATATGTTTGGATAACTTTGCCATGTGATTTAGGATGGTAGTCTCTCTAGCCTCAACATCACAGCGGTGAAAAGTATTTCTTTCCATTCATTTACCAGTGTATAAATGGAAATAGCTTCTGGCAATTACTTTGAATAGCAAATGTATTGGTTATGTCCTAACCTTTTTACCTGATGGAATTGTCTTCTTTACGTAAGATGGTTGAAGTTCATTTACTTAAAATTCTCATTTAAGTTCAGAATTTGAGACTAAAAGTGGATAGTTTTGTTTCTGTACTTGCTCAATTGTTCTGCCATTACACTTCATAATTAATTGCAGCTACATTTCATTGAATTAAAAAGCATAATGTATTTGCACATAACCATAATATTTTGTGATTTAATTTTTTTATATCTAGAACACTACGAAAATGTTCTGATATCTGACAGCTTTTCATTTCCTGATTTAACTGTTTTAAGTTATTAAACTTGTGTACTAGGTTGTCTCAAAATATAACTAAATACAGTGGGCTCTTGTCTTGGTGAGTGCTAAGCCAGTGAATACAACCTAAAGACAAAGAATGGAGAGAGGCCTATGGTTTGCAGCAAGTAAGGAGAGCACTGGGATTATTACCAAAGCAGTGTCCTCTTGTGGTGTGGGGGTCTTCAGGGCAGCCTATTTAGTACTATAAAGGAACAAGTTTACTCTAGGTTGCCTGTGCGAATGAGTCAGAGTGACTGTGGCCTTGGCGAGTCCTCTAAATTTTCCTGTGATTTTTAACTGAAAAACAAAACAAAGTCACTTAAAAGGCATATTAGCAGTCTTTTTATAAAAACAGCAACCTTCTCCTCAGGTGTTAAGAGTTTGCCTCTAACGCCCCCTATGTAGCATGAATTCTAACTGGCTAATAATAAAAACTTGGTGTCAGGTGGTGGAAGCTGAAAGATCAGAGAAGCAAAGCTGCCAGCCACTAGAGAGTTCTTACCTCTGCCAATGCTTAGACCAAAGGCGCCATCCTGTCCTCAGACTGCAGACTGCACCTCCTTAATGCTGGGATTAAAAGCTGTCACTGCAAGTGATGGAATCACCTTTGTGTGAGTTCTGTTTCTCTTTTAGACAGGATTAATTTTGTGTAGCCCAGGGTGGCCTCTGTCTCCTGAGTGCTGGGCTTAACTAGGGTGTCTAGCTCTGCGCTCTGATCCTCAGGCAAACTTTGTTAGATCATAAAATATCACCACATTCCTGTACTACTTAGTAGTTATTGATAACCCCCTTCTCTGTCTCTCCCTCTCTTCCTCTCTCTTCCTCTCTCTCTCTCTCCCTCTCTCCCTCCCTCCCTCCCTCCCTCCCCCCGTCTGTCTTTATACATTTACAGCAAGAAGCAAAAAATCCATAAATCTTACGTAGCCTTTGATTGTAAAACTAGCCTCTGGACTGTGATGACACACAGGTGAATGAAGAAGGGTGTCTTTGGCTGTTCATCGGGTGGCACATTGGCAGAGTTCCTCTCTGTCTTGGGTGTGGGGATTCTGTGTTAAGCCCTGCCCCAGAATACCATGTGTCACATTGGTGGTGAGTCTGATTGGAAATGGTCTTTTTAATGCCTAAGTAAAGCATCTGTTATGTTACCATGAAGTTTAGAGCAAGCGAGTCAGAGACTCTGAGGCTGCATCTTTTTGTTCCCAAGACTATAGTTCTGTTTTTGAATTCCTAAGTGTTGTCAACAACTCAACTGGATTGGGCCTCTAAATCCTGTTAATGCATAAACAAGTATGATACACTTAGTAAGTTGTGCAGACTTCCAGAGGTAGCTAGATCTGAAAAATTTAAATTTATTTGTGAAGTATATATTACCTATCTACAAAAATTCACAATTTGAATAGTCAGGCTTATTTTCACACAGCTGTATTTATAGAGGAACCTCTGAGAGAGGGCGAGTTCCAGACATTTGATTGTAAACTGATGACTCAGCTTGAGATTCATCCAGCAGAGACACTGTACATGCTTCTGTCAGGGAACCTGTCTGTCTACATTTGTTTAGGTGCAGAGAACCTATGTCCTTGGTGTCTGGATTTATTCCTGTGTTGGGGTTAAGAATGGCAGTTCTCCATGCTAACTGTTACTGGTTTTGTTAGTCAGCTTTTCAATGATTGTGACAAAAATATCCAAGCAGCCACCTTAAAATTTGGAGGTTGATTTGACCCCTGCTTTAGGTATGATTCTTTGGCTCCAGTAGCACCGCAGCTTGGGGACCAAGCACTGGCATACAGCTGATGGACATTTCAGAACCAGATCTAGTGCTGTCTTCAGTGGGTCTGGATTTTGTGGGCATGTGTCATCTGAAAGTGAATTGTTACCAAGCTCTCTGTGTGCTTATCCTTGTCCTTCTGAATCACTTGTAACTGTAGGGCATGCCATTTTTTCTAACTTAGTGATAATCAGCTGAGTGGGTGCTTGCTTTGAACTTGAGTAATGTGTGTGTCATTTTCTTTTAAAACAAAAAGCTGCTTAATTTATTAAATTTATTTAAATTTATTTTTGAAACAATCTGTAGCCTAGGCTGGCTTTAAACTTACTAACTTCTTGCCTTGGCCTCTGCAAGTGTTAAGATTCTGGGCTTCTTTTTTGTTTGTTATTAAGATTGTGTTGATAGATTTTTTTTTCTAATGGTCTAATAAGTTGTGTTGATAGATTTTTTTTTTCTAATGGTCTAATTAAGTTGTGTTGATTTCTTTATTGCTGGATTTTTACATTTGATCACGGAATATTTAAAAACCACTGCTATTGAGGTTACATACAAGCAAAGATAATTCACCAGAGACTTCTTTTGCTCTGAAGTCTGTAATTCAGGAAGTTCTGCTGTTTCATTAGCTTCAACACCACGGTAGAAACCACCCATTCCTGAAGACTACTGACAGGTTCATCAGTCCAGTCATATTTACTACTTCCTCAAAGCATTTGGGAATTTTGTTTGAAAATAACCCTTTTCTATACCTAAGTGCAGTGGAGCAAGTTAGGTAATGACAGCACCCTGGAGATGGGGGCAGGGGAAGCAGGATTGCAGGCCAGCCTGGGCTACATGAGACCCTTCTTCAACTACCCAAAAGTATAAGCAATAATATTTTCCTCTAAACTTTATATTTCATCAGTATAGCATTTCCTATACCATTTTCTCACATTTTTTACCCTTTAAAATATCTTTGCTTATATTTTTATTTTTATTGTAATACATGTTTTTGTACTTTAAGCAAGCTAAAATATTTAATTGATAGTTTCAAAGAAGATAATAGTTTAAATAAAGCTAAATTTATTAATGCTAAGTATGGAAGAGCATTTTTATTCTCTATATTTTAATAATAAACATTTTAAAAATAAAATTT